CTTTTCAATTTATTCTGACTTTCCGACTTTACAAACGGTGCCAAAAACTCGCATGTTTCGTTGTGAAACAATGCGTTACAACTATCACCTGCATCTTCTAGTTTTGAACCATCAATTATAGTACCAATTTGACGGTCAACGTTGGTACTTCTCTGCGCATTTCCATGTAAACGTTGAACTTCTTTAAGGAATGCTAGCTGACCGTCACTCGTTGCTTTTTGAACAATAATAGCACTCCAAAAAAGCTCAGCTTCAGTCGCTTGATCTCTATAAGGTAATAGGCGGAAAATACTACATTAAAATCAATATACAGATGCCTCTATATACGCGATAAAAACATTATAAAATAATTCATCTGGTGCGTGCAAATTGAGTGTCGAAACTGACACCGGAGGCATAAAATTAAACTAGAACAAGACAAATACGTCAACTGTAATATAAACACATTCTCCTACTCACAGTGCCACGAGGGTAAATGATGTCTCTGCAGACAAACTGCTATACGATGTCTTTAGATCTGCAACAAAACGATACAACATTACTTCGGCTATTATACCAATGAATGCGATCTTAGCATTATTTACATGCCAACTTTTCCCCGACAATACGGTAACATTGTGCATATTACATATCCCTTTACTACAAAACACCGTTTATAATATTTAACAGCCTGAGAGATTTTAAATCAAACAAATCATCTAATGGTTGGTCTGACTTACCTGCCATTTCTCAATGTATTCCTTGATTTGAACGAGTGAAAATGCTAGACACTGGAAGTATGCGTCTACGTTGTGCTATCTGTAAACTGCGAATAAATGTGAATCGAACATCGTCAACACAGATAGGCGTTCTATGCGTTCTCTAAAATGACGTCAGTGCGTCATTTTGGTACTTGGGTTATTTAAATGTGCCACTAGAGGGTGCACATTTATACGGCGTCGCCTTTGCCTCCTGTTTTCGTGACATGGCCCGAAACCGCAGTTACCGTATAACGATTTGAACATATTCGGATGAACTATGCAATTAACAAACACTCATGAACGTTGGCGATCCTGTTTAAGTGTGATGAGGCATTTAAAGACCGGATTCAGACTGGACCGTTAAGTTGTTCTCATAAAACAAATCGTTTTCTGATAAAAATTACCCATAAGATGGCGGGCAATACATGCGAAATTGTCATTGACCATAATGAGTAAATTGTTCTCCCACACGTGAAGTATATCTTGTTCACCCCCATTTTTACGATTTTCAGCCATTTTAGCAAAATTATGCCATTTCTTGGCGAAAACGTCATTTTATGAGATCCAAAGCGTCCAACGTCAATCTGTTTGGGTTCAAGTGGGTTTCAACTGGTCGTGGAACACTCCCACTTTTTCCACGTAGTAAACTAATCTTGCATGACTTCACTGCGTTCATTTTTGCTGTGGTAATATATTACAGCAAATAGTATGAATATACTGGTACAGCTTTTACTATCATGAATTCCAAGGTCAAATATTACAGGAAATCGCTCCCAAGTATTCGTGGAGAGAGGGATTACTGAATAGATGATATCCGACTACAGATCTATCATAGAGGGACTCTGTACAGAAAAAAAAATAATATCAACGCTCACTTTATCACCAGAGGGCGTTACCGTTGCAACATGGCGTCTTTAATAGAATCCGTGCTCACTTGGGGTTTTGCTTTTTTTCACTGTTCTTTGGTTGCTATTAGAACTTTATTTTGAATTATCATACATCCCGTAAATTCGTTGACTGTGAAAAGAAGGGATACAGCGCCGAAGTGTCTGAATGACCCAAGTCTCAGTGACCACAGGTACCTCCATACAAAGGTAAAAACCACAGTCAGCTGGCGCACACGCGATAATAAAATAAATATGATATTCACTATATGGGGGCCGCCATCTTGAATGACGCATAAAACTAAATAAGAGACAAGTTGTGAAACGTGTTTTTCAGATTCTTACAAATCAGGACAAAAATACCAATCTTTCACAAAAATACGGTCCGTTGGGGTTATATTAAGCCAACCGATAACAAAATTCGGCCGAATTCGTCGTTTTTGTGTGGAAAAATTCCTTGCATACGAACACCTAATTACGCGAAGAACATAGAACACTAAGCCGGGGTATTTGAAACTCAAAATTTGCATTCCAGCACAGCAGCCAATCAGCGACGGCCTAACGCTTAGATGACAATTTCGGTTTCAAATACCCCGGCTTAGTGTTCTATGTTATATATACACCTTTGCAACCTAGAATTGATATTTACCCCCCGGTATATAATGTTATTGGTATTCCTAGAGATATGCAAACATCCTTCGATAATTAGGCCAAATAGAAAAAAATGATGTTTTTTTGGGAACCCCAACCTTGCATAGATTTTCCATGCCGACACACATTTCTTTTCATGGCCAAACTAAAGGTCGTCACTTCCTGTTTCTGTTACCATACTGTGTAAATTCTTCAAATGAAAATAGTATCCTGTATGCATACATCAATGGAAATGCTCCTGTCCAGCAGCATCTTGTTGACCACAATTAATACACCAACATATATAAAAAAAAAGTTATACTAACCTACCTACCTGATTTTTTGATTTCATTGTAACCAGAAATTCAGTATTTTTTTATTTGACATTATCATATTCAAAACTGCTGTTAAAATATCCGCATTTGGTTGTAAATATTTTAAAGATCCTCCTTTAGATTTTGGCATATATCCAGTATACACTTTTCTTTTAAAATATTTTGTGGCAGTTCAATGCTGAGAATCAAAATCAAGCAGGATTTTAAAATCATGACTAATTTATGTGCCACAGTACAATATATGTTACAAAATATGTTTTTTTTTTAATTCTTTACAGAGTCGTTGCCATAGATATGAGAGGATATGGAGATTCTGACAAACCATGGGTATAGCACCATATACCATTGATCATCTTACAGGTTGGTGTTTAATAATTAGCTACTTTGTATTTTTGGAGTTTATTAAGTAGCTACTTTGCATATTTGGTGTTTATTAAGTAGCCTATTTGCATATTTGGTGTTTAATAAGTAGCTACTTTGCATATTTT